AAAAAAAAAAAAAATTCCTCTGAGATCTGGCCATGGTGGCTCACGCCTGTTATCCCCGCACTTTGGGAGGCTGAGGCAGGTGGATCACCTGAGGTCAGGAGTTTGAGACCAGCCTGGCCAACATGGTGAAACCCTATAGCAAGTAAAAAAAAAAAAAAAAAAAAAAAGCCAGGCATGGTGGCAGGCACCTGTAATCCCACCTACTCAGGAGGCTGAAGCAGAAGAATTACTTGAAGGGAGGTGGTGGCTCACGCCTGTCATCCCAGCACTCTGGGAGTTCAAGGTGGGCGAATCGCCTGAGGTCAGGAGTTCGAGACCAGCCTGGCCAACGTGGTGAAACCCCGTCTCTACTAAAAATACAAAAATTAGCCGAGTCTGGTGGTGGGCACCTGTAATCCCAGGTACCCAGGAGGCTGAGGCGGGAGAATCCGTTGAACTCGGGGGGCAGAGGTTGCGGCGAGCCGAGATCGTGCCACTGCGCTCCAGCCTGGGTGACAGAGTGAGACTCCGTCTCCAAACAAACAAACGAAAATTTCTCAGAGAATCCAGTCCTATGGAAATGGAACATGGATGGAACTGGGGGCTTACAGAGTGCGGAAGATGGTCTTAGAGCATTTTGGACGTCCTGCCTTGGGGTTTACGTCACAACGTTCAGGCACAAAAGGGAACTGGGAGAGCGTCTCCTCCAGTAATTGGCTCCCATCCGCCATCAAGCCTTTGGACAGAGAGACCCACGTGGGGGAAACTGAGTGTAAGAGCATGTTCATTAGGCGGTGAGGCTGGGTCTTCAGAGGCTCCTAGCTGTACTATCACTGGAGGGGACCATGCCCGTCCATGGTGGTGTGGAGTCCCCGGGACACTCCCCTCGGTCTTTAAACGTCAACGTGGATCCTGACGTTGGCTGTTGACAGTTGTCTCTCCATCATAACGCCACATACGAGCTGTCATTCATCACAAAGGTAAAGCCCCCGAGAGTGACCACATCACCGCCTTGCAGGGGCGGCTGGTGGGGAAGCAGGAGGGATCCCCCAGACACCTCTTTGTCCTCGGTCTGTGGGTCCAGCGTCCCGGGTGAGTTGGCTTCCGTCTTGGCCAACTGGACCACCAGGGACTCCTCAGGGCCACCTTCTGGCTCTGCACCTGCTATCTTGTGGAGGTGGGCCACGTTCTGGGTGTCTGTGATCCACTCCTACCAGGAGGAAACGTTCTGTAGCTCAAACACAACAGACACACCACAGACAGTGTCCACATGGTACCCACCGCAGACGTCCCCAGAACCGGGCAGCCTCCCACGGAAACCACGCCGTTCCCAATGGAACAGAAAAGCCATCTCGTCTGGGAGGTCTAAGTCCCCTCCAAAGCTCTTGTCGGGGGCATGCGGGGGCTCTGAAACGGATACCCTTCTAAACCAAAAATAAAATTCTTTTTTTGTTGTTTTATTGAGACAGAATTTCACTCTTGTTGCCCAGGCTGGAGCGCAATGGCGTGATCTCGGCTCACCGCCACCTCCGCCTCCCCGGTTCTAATCCATTCTCCCGCCTCAGCCTCCTGAGTAGCTGGGATTAGCGACATGCACCACCGCACGCGGCTAATTTTGTATTTTTAGTAGAGACGGGGTTTCTCCGTGTTGGCCAGGCTGGTCTCAAACTCCCAACCTCAGGTGATCCACCCGCCTCGGCCTCCCAAAGTGCTGGGATCAAAGGCATGAGCCACCGTGCCTGGCCCCCAAAAATAAAATTCTAAGCCCTGCAACAGGCTGACGGACTCTCCACAGGGTCAAGGTGATTCCAAAGTTATCTTAAAACCTAGTTTGAGACATCACAGGAAGTCAGAGTTGGACATGCTTCCTTCTACCCTGTTCCCTTTCAAATTCAGACACAACCGAGCCGCATTAAAATCAACACGCAGGCCGGGCACGGTGGCTCATACCTGTCATCCCGGCACTGTGGGGGGCCGAGGTGGGTGGACTTGAGTTTGAGACCAGCCTGGACAACATGGTGAAACCCCTTCTCTACTAAAAATACAAAAATGAGCCGGGCATGGTGGCAGGTGCCTGTCATCCCAGCTCCCCAGGAGGCTGGGGCATGAGAATTGCTTGACCCCGGGAGGTGGAGGTTGCAGTCAGCGGAGATCGCGCCACCGCACTCCAGCCTGGGCAACAGAGCGGGACTCCATCTCACAATAAACACACACATAAATAAATGAATACGAGAAATGACTCAACCTCCCAGCTACTCGGGAGGCTGAGGCAGGAGAATCGCTTGAACCCGGGAGGCGGAGGTTGCAGTGAGCCGAGATCGTGCCACTGCACTCCAGCCTGGGCGACACAGTGAGACTCCATTTCAAAATAAAGACACACATAAATAAATAAATAAGAAAATGACTTAACTCCCCAGCTACTCAGGAGGCTGAGGCAGGAGAATGGCTTGAACCCGGGAGGCAGAGGTTGCCGTGAGCCGAGATCGCACCACTGCACTCCAGCCTGGGTGACAGAGCGCGACTCCGTCTCACAATACACACACACATAAATAAATAAGAAAATGACTCACCCTCCACATTTTTGAAAAGCTCTCTCTGGGGTCTGAAAGAATATTGTTTCGGCTAGATCTCTAACTGGATCCAAAGCTGAAAATTCAGTCACAGCTTGAGCAACGACAATATCAGACCTTGTACGATTCTTCTTGCTGCCGTCACCAAGCTGCCCAGCTTTACCTGGGCTGCTTTTCTTTTTGAGAGACGGAATCTCGCTGTGTCACCCAGGCTGGAGTGCAGTGGTGCAGTCACAGTTCACTGCAGCCTTAAACTCCTAGCCTCAAGCCATTCTTCCGCCTCGGCCTCCCAAGTAGCTGGGACTACAAGAACATGCTACCATGCCCGGCTCATTTTGTGTTTTCTTTTTTTCAGACAGAGTTTCACCCTTGTCACCCAGGCTGGAGTATAATGGTGCAATCTCAGCTGACTGCAACCTCCACCTCCTGGGTTCAAGCAATTCTCCTCCCTCAGCCTCCAGAGTAGCTGCGATTACAGGCGTGTGCTAGTGCACCCGACCAATTTTTATATTTTTAGTAGAAGTGGGGGTTTTGGAATGTTGGCCAGGCTAGTCTCGAACTCCTGACCTCAGGTAATCCACCCGCCTCAGCCTCCTAAAGTACTGGGATGACAGGTGTGAGCCACTGCACCTAGCCAAACTAATTTTTTGGTTTTTTTTTTTGTTTTGTTTTGTTTTTTGAGACGAAGTCTTGCTCTGTCACCCAGGCTGGAGTGCAGTGGCGCGATCTCGGCTCACTACAACCTCCACCTCCTGGGTTCAAGCGATTCTCCTGCCTCAGCCTCCCAACTAGCTGGGACTACAGGTGCACGTCACCACGCCCGGCTAATTTTTGTGTTTTTATTAGAGACGGGGTTCCACCATGTTGGCCATGCCGGTGGCCAGGATGGTCTCGATCTCTTGACCTCGTGATTCACCTGCCTCAGCCTCCCAAAGTGCTGGGATCACGGGCGTGAACCACTGCGTCTGACCCTAATTTTTGTATTCTTAGTAGAGATAGGATTTCACCATATTGGCCAGGCTGGTCTCGAACTCGTGACCTTGTGATCTGCCAGCCTCGGCCTCCCAAAGTGCTGGGGTTACAGGTGGGAGCCACCGTGCCCGGCCCCTCTGAAATGATTCTGTCAGGCTATTAATCTTTTCTCCCACTTCACAGATACTCTGCAAGCAAAATCCTCCACCCATGCCTGGCAGGTGTCCTCCTTACCTCCATAATTTCCGTAAAGATAGAAGGAGAAGAGACACCATCAGAAGGATGGCCAGGCTGGAAACTAACATAAATTTGGACAGCTTCGGTTTGGGAGGCGTGCGAGGCTCTGGGCACGAATCTGAAACGAAACGAAAAGGCTGCTGGGCATTTTCAACATGATGGTTCATCTCATCCCCAACCACCCTCCTCATTGTTTCGTGGTTTTTTTCTTCTTCATTGTTTATTTGTTGTTTCGGTTTTTTTTGGTTTTTGTTTTTGTTTTTGTTTTTGTTTTGTAAATATTAGTGTCAGCAAATCTTTTACTTACTTTATTTATTTATTTTTTTTTTTTGAGACAGAATCTCACTCTGTCACCCAGGCTGGAGTGCAGGGGCACGATCTCAGCTCACTGCAACCTCCACCTCCCGGATTCAAGCGATTTTCCTGCCTCAGCCTCCCGAGTAGCTGGGATTACAGGGCAGGTGCCACCACGCCCAGCTAATTTTTTTGTATTTTTTAGTAGAGATGGGGTTTCTCCGTGTTGGCCAGGCTGGTCTCAAACTCCAGACCTCAGGTGATTGACCTCAAGCCTGCCTCGGCCTCCCACAGTGCTGGGATCACAGGCTTGAACCCCTGGGCCCAGCCCCGTCTGGTATTTTTAATACAGTGATTCTCCTGCCTCAGCCTCCTGAGTAGCTGGGATTACAGGCACCTGCCACCACACCGGGCTAATTTTTGTATTTTTAGTAGAGACAGGTCTCAATTTTTTTTTTTAATGAATGTTAGTGTCAACAAATTTTGATTCCTATGGAAAATATTCCGGAAAGAGACACTGTGTCTCTGGATAAGAACACATCCCACAGCCATTCCCAGGAAGTAAGGGCAGGTTCCACATGCAGCCTTTGGAGGCTTGTGGTTGCTGGGGGTCTTTACAGCATAGGAGAGCTTGCTTTTGGCTGTTGGTGGCTGTACACCTGAAATTATGCCCCCTGAAAAGATACATTGAAAGCTGGGCACTGTGGCTCACGCCTTTAATCCCAGCACTTTGGGAGGCCGAGGCGGGCGGATCACAAGGTCAGGAGTTTGAGACCAGCCTGGCCAATACGGGGAAACCCGACTCTACTAAAAATACAAAAATTAGCCATGCTTGGTGGTGCCTGCCTGTCATCCCAGCTACCCGGGAGGCTGAGGCGGGGAACGGCATGAACCCGGGAAGCGGAGGTTGCAGTGAGCTGAGATCACACCACTGCACTCCAGCCTGGGCGACAGACTGAGACTCTGTCTCAAAATTAAAAAAAAAAAAAAAAGAAGGAAAACTGGCCCGAGTGAAAGCGGGCAGGGAGCAAAGCAAGGAGCGGAATTGCTTGTTGCTTTCTAGATGGAGCCCTGGAGGATGAGAGAAGACTGAGCTTGCTCAGACACACGCTCTGCTCACAAACACACTCCCTCCCACCTCCCAAGAAGGCAGGACAGTGTCGGTGGCTATGGCTACGCCAGCCCGGTGACAAGGTTATGCGGCCCTGCTGCGTAACAAACATTACCCCGAGTCTCGCCTCTCTGCCAGCACGTCACCTCTGACCAGTCGCTCGGGTACGTGTCTGGCCCATACGCATCCTCCATGGCCTTCACCCGGGCCCGGAAAGCATAGCACTTCTCGGCATCCAAGTCGTCTATGGTGACATTGCAGCTATTTGCCTGTTTGGACTGGAGAAACA